AATCATACGTGACATGCCGTTGTGGCTGGATAAAAGTTTGTGTTTATTTTTCAAACACCTTCGTTTGATAGGTAGGAATGTAGCTATGAACAAGTACGTACTAGTAATATTAGTTATTTTGTTATTAGTTTATTATTAGTACCTATGTATTATGTATTACCAGTTAAATAGTAAAATAAATACATATAATGATAAATTAACTGTGGATTATTTCATTTACGTTGCGTTACGTGGCTTCCGTGTGGGTAGCTCGCTGTTTATTCCAAAATTAACAAAGTAGCTCAACACATTGAAGAGGTTGGCGACCACTGGTGTAGGGAGTTGAGACTGGCCTGAACGAATTGTTCTTAGATAATTTGATTTATAGCCAGTCTTCAAGTATGCCCACTATATGTGAGAGAATTTCGTAGATGAATTTTTTCAATCTTACACTTACAGTAGCTGCTGAGAACGTTTCAAAATAATTAAAAACATGTCTAAAGCTATAGAAAGAGTCACATATTTACCTTGTAAGTTCGCAACAAGTATATTGGCACCGATAATGAAATCCCCACTATCCATGTTATAAGCATTACAATTTTAGCCCCCTTTCTATTGATCCTCGTCTCTGTGGGTAAAACGATGGCAGTCAATCTGTCATAGGTTATTGCTGACATACTTATTACACTTGCTATCATAATGGAACCTAAAATTGAAAAATGATACGAATATACCTGATATAGTTGAGTGATAGTGACAATAAAATTCCATCAGCATGATATACATCAGGGTCTCAATTTGAAAACTCCCCACCCATAATATCTTCCTTCCAGTAAACAATACGAGGAATCGAAAAAACAGGTCAATTTTATTGTCAAGGGGGACACTTTCATGGACTTTTTATAGCCCTCGTGGTTCGACCCTCTAGGAGGGGTAGATGTTACCCTTAGAATTTTAAATGGAAAGGGGCGGTGAAGTGGCGCATCATTTTGATTGGCGTTCAATTCTGCTTCCAATGGTAGCGTTCTAAATAATGGACCGATAATCGCATTTCCAAGAATACCAGCCCAGACATTCACTTTTTGTGGGTCTTGTGTATGTCCTTCCCGACAAAAAATGTGGGTATTCGTTACTCCAATAGCGATAGTTTTGTCTATTAACATTGCCATTCAGAAAAAATGAACACTAAGGTCCTATGTATTTTTAATAATGTTGGCATGTTAATCTGATCGTTTGCATGGTGTGGATGGTTGTACGTAAGGGTTAAGAGTGAAAAGAAAAAAAATTAGTGGAGCGCGTCAGATTTTCTAAGGGGGTGATAAGTGCAACAAAAAAAAACTCCCATTCAATAATCTGACGATTTCGATCTGACGCAAACTCGCGGTCATTATTATTATGTGTAAAAAAATTCGCTATTTTGAAT